AATATCCATCTATGAAAGTGATACTGGAAAGACACATATGAACTTCGGATGGTTGGATCTGGAATCTGGGGTGATTTTTGTTATTGTTCTTTGTGCTTTTCTATATGCTCCCAGGTTTTTCTTGTTTTGTTTTTAATTAAAATATATTTCTTTTGTGGGAAAAAAATTAATAAATCTCTTATAGAGAGATTCTTCGTTATCTGTGAAAATGTGCGTGAACCATGGTTCCCTTAGAGAAGAGAAAGAAGTACCTGTGCCCTCGTTTGACCTGGCAGAGCTCCAGACACGCACAGGCTGTGCCTGGCTCGCTTGTCTCCGCCTCTGCAAATATGCCTAAGACCAGCTCAAAGGGATGTGTGTGTGTGTGCGAGTGTGTGTGTGAGCGTGTGTGCATGCATGTGAGAGAGAGGGAAGGACAGAGTGACCAAGGGACTTGGTAAGAGTGACAGACCCAGAGGAGGCAGAAGGAGAGAGACGAGGCACCGCACGTTCTCCCGGCTCCTCGATCCCCCGGAAGTTTAATGTTTCTATCCGCCAGCCGGAAGGCCATCACCTGCCACAATTTCACCCTCAATGAAAACACTGCAGAAAATACGGGGAAAGGGTGATCTAAGATGGCACCAAAGGGCCTGTGACAGTCCTACCTGTGAAGTGAGAGTCCGGAGTGTCTTGTTGGAAGACATCCAGCCGTGGCAGGGGCTGACCTGTGAACAGGAAGACACCCTCTGATTACGGAGGAAGAGCGCTGGTGTCATGCGGGGAAGAGGGCCTTGGGACAAGGCCGTGAGTCCTCACCTGGAGGCAGCTCAGGAAGGTGTAGAACTGGTCATAGGTCACGTCCTCATTCAGCTGGCCTGGGAAACAGAGAGGTCTGGCATGTTGTATGTACTCCAGGAGACAAGAGGGGTGACCTTGACTCCCTGGCAGAGGCCGACATTTCCAGGGATCGGACCTGATTTTTCAATAGCTACTGCTCTTGAATGCCTGTGCTTCCCTTTCTGAACCTTCTAGAAATTCAGGCTGGCGTTGGGGAGAACCTTAAGGAGTTCATTCCCTTCTTGAGCTGTTGGCGTGGGCTAGGGCGGGGCCTGGAGGAGGACCCCGGAAAGGGGTCTGAAGGTGCCACATGGGCCAGGGCATCGCCCCGGCAATGGCCTCGAGTGCCAGGTTCCCGTGGGGCACGGGAAGCTCAAGGTGGCAGTTGACAAACCCTCTTTTCTAAGTTTATGAAACACCCAAGTGCAACCCAATTATCTCATGCTGAGGACCTGGCAAGACATTCTGAGAGTCGGAAGAGCTGACCATGCGCTGCCCTGCAGCTTGGTGACCCGAAGGCCTCCAGGAGGGTCTGGCCAGCATGCTACGTCGCTGCAGGGCCTGGCGCGTGTCTTGGGTGAGCCCTAAAGAGCAGATACGCCCCACACTTACTTTTTGGTGCAAGTTAAAGAGGGGTCTGCTTGTCCTGGGTGAGCCCTAAAGAGTGGATACGCCCCACACTTCCTTTTTGGTGCAAGTTAAAGAGGGGTCTGTGAATGAAGGCGCTGAGTGCCATGTGCGAGTCCACCCAGGGTCTTCCCAAACATCGGCTGGAGACGGGACTGTGTGAGGGTTCTCTCCTCCCCAGCCCCCCATCTCCCCTCTCTCCCTCCTTATGGCACACCCACCCCCTGAGGCAATTCAACTCTCATGCTGCGGCCGAGACACAAAATCCAGGCACTCCCAATTCTCTGAGGCGAATAACAGATGCCTTATCCATTAACACTTCTCTCATGCTCAAAAAGATAAAGGGAAATAATAGGCCATATCTGGGAGCAGAGAGAAAGATTGAAGGTGAAGGAACGCGGTCTTATTTTTCACTTATGCCTCAGATCAGTTAGACTGAAAGATGGATTCAATTTTCTTGTCATAGAAAAAAAAAAAATCTCCACGTGGGTGAGTGAATCTCAAGACTGGAAAACCACAGGCTTATTATCGCCACTAAAGTCACAGTGACACGCCAGGCCGCCTCAGCTCCCCAGATCACCACATTTTAGATGAAGCCCAAACTGTCTTTGCTTCCATTTTAGGGGCTCAACATGGAGGCCTGAGCTCCAACTCTCTCCAAGATCCTGCTTTTCACTCCTGAGGCTTCTTTTCCTCTGCCTATTTATTTTTTTTTGTCTGTGTGTTTTTGGAATTCGTCTCCTTCCTCTGTGTGTCCCTCCATCCTACCCACTGCAGTGACTGACGGACACACCCAGCCCGCACTCTGCACCTGGGTCCTTTGGTGGAACCAGGGCCTCGTGATGAATCTTAGGTAGCTTGGCTGGGACCCTGACACCCTGCTTAGCGCTGACGAGTCCCTTCTTCCTGAGAAGTGTCCTCTCTCTCTTTCCCCAGCCCAGTGGCTAACGTCTCTTCAACTTGGGGGGAGGTGGCACCTCACGCCTGACCACGAGTAGCACTCTTGTACCTACCCCTTTCCTACCTTCAAGCCTGGATTGCTCTGCTGTCCAGAGGGACTGAAGTTGTCCTGCTCCTGGATCCCGGGGACTCGTCTCCTGGCTCCCCACTGGGAATGAAGCCCGGCCTTGGTCTCGCTTCATCCGGCTTATTCCCTTCATCCTGCTGTCCTACTGCTGAGGTCCCAGCACACCTCAGATGAGACCACAAGGCGTGCCATCCTTCCGGGCCTTCTCCCAATCCCCGTCCCTTTCCCCTCTACCTCCCTGCCATCCTGGCACTGCCACCAACTGGACTGGGTTGATAAAGGGACAATTCTAGTGTGAGCGGGTCAGTCTGCTGCACCGGATGTAGGTATAGTTAGAAAATAACATGCCAAGTGGTGGGTCCCCTTCTCTCTGGCCCTTCTGCCTGTTAGAGGGTCGGGCGGCTCAGGGTGGCCATGTGGAGGTCAGGTGGGAGAGCGCGCGATGGGCTTGCGGTGTAGAGAAAGAGAAGAAGTAGTTCTCATGCTTTGCCCCCTACTGGCACTGTCAGCTGGCCATCTACTCCTTCTTTTTAGGTGTTCGCTTTCATCCCTGGTCCTTTAATGGTACTTTTGCCTTTTGAGGAGCCTGAGTCTAAAGACCGACTCTCTCCACATGTCACACCTGTAAAGAAGCAGTGTCTGTGACTCCTGGTCGGACGTGAATCTGCCAAAGAAAGCTGACCAGAATGACCAAGACGAGGCAGAAGGACTGTCCCGCAGCGGCCAGCGATCACAAGGGCTGAGTTACCAGTGTGTGTGTGTGTGTGTGCGCGCGTGCACACACGTGCACACGCCTGGGGGTGGGGGGTGGTGGTTGGGGGGGGTGGCACTGGCTGGACCAGTGATTGCATACGCTCCTTCTGAAGATAAAAGGGCATTTTCTGTAAGTTTGTTTCTCAGTCATTTGTAAGCTCCTTAGGGCAGGGCCTGTGGTATTTATTTAATGCCGGGATCTTAATTGAAATTTTAGGCACCATGAAAGCTTAGTATCAACAAAGATCAACTGCACCTCCAGGAAATACCATCGAGGGTACGAAAACTGAGTGAAACCACGTTAATCCAGACGGGGAGAAAGACAGTAATCAAATATAAGGCGTACTACTACAACGTATTTTAAAATACGTTATGTTTTAAGTTCACTGTAATCAGAGGTAAACAAAGCCACCGCCAACGTTTTGTGGCTCTTCGTGGAAGAGCTGCTTGCAGACCTGTTTGCAGCCAGTGATCCCCAACGTCGTGGCCACGGTCCAGCCCTGAGGACAGCCCCCCGGATGCTTGGGGCTTGTACCAGTGTCCCCGACGCTTGGTCATTTCACCGTTAGGATCTACATACTGTTTTCCCCAGTGGAGTCGTCTTTTCTCTCTTCCTTGAGGACGAGACCTCCATTTTCGTGTCATCTTTATCCACGAAGCACGTAATACTTATCTCAGACATATTCGCGGAAAGGCTGCCTTTCTCATAGACTATGCTTGAGAGGGCTCGTCACTGGTCAAAGCGGACCTTTCTCAAAAGATCTGGCGTAAGTAGAATCCTAACCTGTGAAACGTACTCTCTGGTAATTCCTCGAAAAGGGGATCTGTTCTCGCCAGGACTTTTACTTCCTGGTAGAGGCTGTGGGGCTGTCACGGCCGGTGGCAGCCAGGCGCTGACCGGGTAAGTGACCTCAGGCCTGGCCGAAGAGGCCAGAAGCCGAGCGGGTCATCACTGCCCCCTCCCCGGCAGGAGCGAGCTGGGAGCCTGCTGTCTTCCGCGCCCCCGTTACCTACCGAGCTGATGCCGTGGCATTTAACCTGTGCTAAACGGTCAGGCGGACTTCCTGTCTGTCCTACGGAGGCACAGAGGCCGTGTCACCGGTCCAGGGGCTGGTCCCCAACCCCTTCTGCTCCCGGAACCCTTTCCTAGTCCTTAAGGGGTGGCCACATCGTCCTGTTTTAGGCGCAGAGGGAGAAATGCATTGGAAAACCTCCTTGTTTGCTTCCACAGCCGCTAGCACAGCGACGTGGGAATCAGCCTGGGGCGTTGGGCTGTGGCCGGAGGTGAGACCCGCCCTAACCTAGCCAGGCATCTAAACCCAGAGGCTGGTCCAGCACTCACCAGCTTCCCGCTGGTTCCTGTGAGCAGGAACGAAGATCCAACGATTGGATTTGGAGCAGGAGCACGACAGAGACGAGAGGGCAGCAGCCCCCTCTCTAAGCCTCTCATGTCACGTGAGTCGTGTGCCCACCGCAGAGTAACGGGGAAGCTGGGTAAAGCCTGCCTTCCTCCCAGCCTGTCCAGGAAGGACCCTGATGCTTCACTGAGGAAGTTATAATCCATCGCCTGTGGCAACCAGGCAGCAGAAATAATTTAGAAAATGAATAATAACGTGAAAACATTAAACAGGTTATTGATGGTTTCGACTTTCTCCCTAACTGGATTTTTTTTTTTTTTTCAAAACTAGGATCGTTTATATAGGACAAACTTGTCGCAACTTTCCCTTCTTCCTTTTTCCCATTACTGCATTTCACAGCAGTTTGAGGACAAGGCAAAGCCTCGAGCAGGGCGTTTTAACCTTGGCACTACTGACGACCTTGGCACTACTGATGACCTTGGTTGCAGGGGCGTCCTGTGCTATTGAGAACCTCCCTAGATGCTGGTAGCACTGCCTCCCCAGGTGTCGTAATGAGTCGGGGTGAGCGGGTCACTCTGGCTGCAAACCAGAATCCACTAGAGAATCCACCGAAGTGATCGATGAGTTTCCCAATCACCTTCCCCCCGCCCCCCCGCCCCGCTGCCTCCGCTCCCTTCCAGATGGCATGGGGTCATTATTACATGCCGTGGGTAAGTTAAAGGTCTGAAAGAATTTACGGAGCGGTCGAACCAGAGTTCATGGAAAGAGAATGGGATTTAAGCCGAGTCCCTATGGGTATGATGGGGTACACTGGGAGCATGTCTTCCTTCCCCAACTTCCCTGCCTCGAGCATTTCTCCGCGTGGGAGAAATTTAGGAATCTGAAACATTTGTGTGGAAACTGCAGTTTTCACATCCAATGGCTCAGAGAGACCTTGTCAGCCCAAGTGGCTGTCCTCCACGTGTCTGAGGCAGCCCAGGATGGAGGCACATCCTCCTCCACGTCACCGTGTTGTTATTTCTGCGGGGCGCTGTCGAAGCCGCGGGAACAGCAGAAATGAGCTCTCCTCACGCGAGGCTAGACAGTATTTTGCTTAGATGATAACAACATCTGTGGCGCATTTCTTAACTGAAGAGGAAGTGGCCTCGGTCTCACTGGTGAGGAGCCTGGAATGTGGGCGTCTACCACTGTCCCCCCAGTGAAAGGACCAGAGACCTTTGAGAGCTGGTGAAAGGGCCCTGCTCTTTTCCCGTGGGGGGAGGCATGGGACTTCCTCAGGGAGGCAGGGGGTTGGCTTAACAAGGGGTGCAGGAGGAGGGCAGGAGGAGAGTGAAAAGGCACAGAGAAGTTACCCGTGCAAGGGACAGCCCTCCTGTGGAGGGCACCGAGGGATGAGCTCCAGGACTTGTCCCTCTGAATTGCTCCCCTGACTCAGGAGGAAGTGCGTGGCCTGCCAGCACACGGTAGCTCGGGTTGGTATAAGGAGCGGCTGTGGCCACACCAGGGACGGAGCTGCCCCTTAATGCGACTGGCACAAGTGCCATCAAGTTGGGGCTGCGTGGAGGGTACCCAGGCCTCTCTTCGTAGGTGCCTGTCTCAGGGAGTGAGGCCACACTCTCCGTCCCCCCTTCCTGCCTGTGAGTTTTCTCCCGTAACACTCATCATCCCTGGAGTACTTCTGGAATCTTCCTCCCACTGGAATAGAAGCCTCACGTTGGCAGGGATTTTTGGCTTTTGTGTCCACCGCTGGTTACACATTGCCTAGAACAGTGCCTGGCACATAACGGGCACTTAATAAATATTTTTCAAAGGGCCATTTTCCTCCAAAACTCAGAAAGAAGAATTGTGCACCACCCAGCTTATATATACCATAAGCTAGCTACGCAACATTTGGCAAGCCAGCTAACTTGTCTGAGCCTGAGTTTATTCATCTGCAAAACGGAATTAATGAAAACATTGATCTCACAGGAGTGTTTTAAGGTTCAGCATGGCAACCTTTCATAACGTGAGTTACCACTGCTTTTGCAGCATAACGCGTCTGGAATGCTAAAGATGGATCGGAAGTTTCTGGGGCTCTTTAAAGCATTTCAGAGCCAAGGACTCCAGGGCAGTGAGGAAGCGGGGAGCAGGCCCTCTGCCCGGCCGCGTGCTGCGGGATTCTACCTGGCCCCGGTGGGGCGCTCACCCCTGAGACTGGAAGAAATCCTTCCCTTTGACTCGGGGCTTTCCGTCTCTCCTTTGCGCTTTATCGGCTCATTTTAGAAATTACCCTCAGCTCAAAGAGTTTCTTGTTTTAAACCCTTACCTTTCGATTTGTCCTAATTCTTCATTAAATACGTCCGCCCTTTCTGGCTCCGGATCTGATTCTGCCTACCTTTGAATAATGACTTTTAGATCCTGCACCTGGGGTCTCTGCCCTTTGTCCGTTCTGATCCTTGTCCTGTGCTGGCATTTTAGGTATATTCCTATACGATATGAACTATATATACATGAACTATGTATACATTGACATTGTTAAAGAGTAGATGTGTCTTCAAACCAATACCGAGAGGATGATATCTGTCGTGTAGATTATCCCAGAGAAAGGTTCCATCTGGTAAGCCGGATAGGAAAACATGGCTGCCATTCGGCAGGTGGGAATTTAGAAACTTCAGAGTCTCTGTGACCTTGGAATACAGTTGCTCAGGAGTGGTCATTTCTGGGACTGGGTCTCTCCGCCTGTTAGGAAAAGAAACAGAAGACATCTTAGTAGATGACAAGGACAGATGCATGCAAATGCAAAATACCCACCCCTGAAGCCACCCCATCCCACCATTGGGGTGGTTATTTGTGCTATTTGCAAAATATTCTTGGCTTCCTGACTCCCTCGAGGTTGGGCGCGCCATGTAGCTGGTCTGCCTATGAGTTATGAGCAGAAGTGACATATGTCATGTTTGGTGGTAACAGAGCCTCTAAAAAGCTCTTTTCCTTTGACATGGGTCTGGGCACTGTTCTAGATAGCAGTTACTTCACCAGTCTGAGTCCTGGAACAGAGGTGCATGATGATTCTTGATGGACATGTAGTCTGAGTGGGAAGTAGATAGTACTTTATGCTATGAAGATTTTAGGGGCTGTTTGTTCCTGCAGTATAATCTTACTTATCCTGACTGATAAACACAGTTAATGATATCAAATGGATCTTGTATCGATTATTATTTGTTTGACACTTGGAGGTCTGCAACTTGGTTTTTAAAACTTTCCACATATATTATAGTCAGGGAAACAGAATTTCACTGAAATGAAGTTATATTATGTGTCTATAATAGATCCTTCCTTTTTACACTGAATTTGAACTTTCATGAATTTCCTGATAGACTGCTCTTTCAGGCTATACCTCTGTGATGCTATTTGCCAACAGACAAGTCCATTTTGCATGCCTGCCTTTTTTTTTTATTTCCATAGTAGTGTTTGTGCTCTATAGAAGATCTTTGAAATTTTAAATTATATTTTTCTCTTCTTGTTTTATAAAAGTTAGTAAAAACATAAAAAGTTTTGAAAGTAGTTAAAAGAACATAGGCCTCAAATCAAAGAATTTAAGAAAAAGATGGAAATCATAAGTGAACTGAAAGCAATTTTTAGCTTCTATCAGACATTTTTGAATTTAAAATGGTTAACTTATTTTAATTTGGTTTGAAAAAACAAAAATAAGTAAGGTACAGATATATTCTAGAAATACATCGTTGAAAGTTACGTTAAGTCTTTCTTTTTTTCTAGTTATGTTTAAGAGGCAAGGTGTCAAATAGGGATGCTAGAGAACTTTTTTGCTTTAATATGTAAGTCTATTATTGTTCATTTTTGCAGTTGCCTTTTGTATACACTTTCAGGAATACCTCAAGCTCGAATTAAGATACAAACCTACATTAACCTGGGAATACGAATTCTCTAAGGTTTTCGCCTACTCTTGAAGCTCTAAACTGCCTGATGTTAACCTGAATAGAATAATGCTACAAGCTGTTTTCTACTCTGAGTTCTTAAAACTCTGAAGTTACTGAATGACCCTGTAATGGGTTGGACGGCCCCTCCAGAATGTGACTTTATTTGGAACTAGGGTCTTTGCAGCTATAATTAGTTAAGACGAGGTTGTATTGCATTAGGGTGGACCTTATGTCCAATGACTACTGTCCTTATAAGAAGAGAAGACACAGACACATGCAAGGAAGAAGGCCATGTGAATGTGGAGAGATTGGAGTCACGCTGCCACAATCCAAGGAATGCTAAGCATTGCTGGGAGCCATCAGAAGCATAAGACAAAAAAAAAAAAAAAGAAAAAAAAGATTTTTTTTCCCAGACTCTTCAGAGGGAGCATGGCCCTGCTGACACTTTGGTTTTGGACTTCTAGCCTCCAGAGCTGCGTCAGAATAAATTCCTGTTGTTTCAAGTGTGTGGTACTTGGTTACAGCGACCCTAGGGAATGTAATGCAGATTCCAAACCAGAAAAAGTAAGTCCAATACTCACAGGCTGGACCCACGGCCTAAGTGACATGGGAAGAGGGGACAGGAAGAGGCTCCTGGGGTATCCACTATCCTTGCTTTTAAGGGAGCTATTAAATGGGCATCGTCACTGTCACTTTGGAGGGACTTTTACAAAATGGATCAAAATTTGAAGTTGACTTAACTTTTGACTTGAAGTTTCACTTTCAGGAAGCTGTCATATAGTAACAGTTCCACAAATATACAAAAATGTACATACAAATTACAACATTACTTGGAATAGAGTAAAACTGAAAAAAGCCCAAAAGCCTGCCTACATAAATTGCAGTACATCCATGCAGTGGAATGCTATATAGCCGTTAAAAAGGATGAAGGACGAGATACAGGTGATGGTTGCACAATATTCTGAATGTATTAAATGCCACTGAATTAACGGCTCACTTTAAAATGGCTAATTTTGCATTATGTGAATTTCACCTCAGTAAGATAAAAAAATATAAAAAGAATGAAGTAATCTCTATGTATTAGCATGGAGAGTAGCATTAGTTGTTGATTGAAATGGACAAATGGCAGAGCAGTAAGCACAATATAATTTCATTTAGATGAATATTACAAATATGCAAATTGGAATCTGCATAGATACCATCTGGCTGCACATACATCAAACTCTCATGATTGGTCAGCTCAGTGGGACCAGTAGGAAATGATCATGGGGAAACTTTCACTTCCTAAGCCCGGTATTATTTGAACTTTTCACAGTAGATGTTACTTTGTAATTAGAGAAACAATATAAATAGAACAGATTTCCAAATCACTTTTATTATCCTTCCTACAGGGGGAAAAAACTGGACTCTATCCAAGCTTTAATGCAAAAGGGAAAAAACATTGTCATTTCATGTTATTTCTCTTCTGCCTGCTTCACTTAGTCAAATAAAATCACTTCCCAAATGACTGCTATCTGCTATCCAGAGGTGACAAGGCTGACCACGGCTATGAGGATCACGGGGGCCATTTTGTGACAGGCAACATGTACCCATGCACCATGCAGAGAAAAAGGCAGATCGAGCGTGGCCTTTCTGGATGCCAGTTGTGGTTGGTGTGTGTGCTTCTGTACTATGCAGTGGGTTGCTCGGACTTTCCTAAGAAAGGACAGAAAAAAAGAACGTGTCCCGTTTGAACAAACCCCAGCATGTAGAACAGAATGCTAAATTTATGGTTTTTGTTACCTCAGGACAAGTTACTTTACTTTGTGAACACAGCTCTCCCTAACCTGCATAAAAAGCACTCTCAGGATTCGAGAGCGGGCTGCCTAGACCTACTAAGGGCGGAAGGCTGGCTAGGGGCTTTGGCTTGGCCGTATACACACAGAAGCTATAGAAGGCTCTGAGTTTGCGAAGGGGCTGCAGGCTGCCTTGTGGGTTTATTCAGACCAGAGAACCCACCCATAGTATCCAGGCTTTCTATTCACTGTGTGTTCAGAGTGTGACAGCAGGACTGAAATGCAAGCCAGTTGGGTGTCTGCATCCTGTCTTCTGTCACTGGTCCAGCTAGTGCGCTCTGCCTGCTCACTTTCGCTTGGCGCCTTCATTTTTTTTTCTGTTGGTACAGCAGCGCTTTGGTGCAAAGCGGTTATGCTGAGCTCATTCTCTCCAGCCACAGGAAGGCGAGGCGAATTAAAACGGAGCGAGTCTCTCTAGTCCCTATCTTAATATTATTTTTTGGTTAGAGACACAACTGTGATGATAAACACGGAATCTGAGCTAATTCGTGTTTGTGAAAAGAGCACCCCGCAAATGAAGCAAGCGTCGCCGAAAAGGCTAATGACTCGGTGAAATAGAAATCGAAGGCTTGGCGTTGCTAACGGAAGGGTTTTCCGGTCATCGGGGACAGCCACGCGACCTACACCTGAGCGTGGTCAGCGACCTCCTTGGATGTGCATGGCAAAATGAACCAGTTCTCCGAGCCCCGGCCCTTGGGAGGCTCAGGTCTGTCTTTGTCCTAATGAACGGCGTCTGATCATGCAAAATCCGCCTCAGACTTGGGTGCGGGGCTGGGATCCCTTCATCCCCCGGCAGGTATTCCAGCCAGATTGCGCCTGGCTGATCGCAGAGAGACGTGCCGCCACCAGGAGAAGAGGCAGACGGCCTCTTGGAAAACGTCTCCTGGATCCGGAGCTGAAGCCCTCAGACCTGCCACGCCTGCGCGTCAGACCACCCCCCGCCCCGTAATAGAATTAGCCCCATCCTCAGGCCGGCCAGTTGCAATCACATCACTGACCTTCCACCCAACCCCCTCAAAGAGGCGTCTTGACACAAACTGGGAATGGGATGGGGACTCCTGGGCCCACATGCCCCAAGCATAGGGATCTTGGGTCCCCTTAGAGTGTGGCCCAGGACATGCTGGCTGCTTGGGAAGCTCCCTGTCATCCCCTTGGCCACCATGTTGCCACGGAGGAGCCTGGGGGAGGGACTTCCTCTAAGTAGCAGTCTGTCCACTCCCTCCTCTGCTGGTTTTCTACCATTCGATTGGGTGGAAGGATAGTTTCTGGGCAGTCCAGGCTCCTTGGGTCAGCCTCTTGGCCAACTTCTTAATGCAGTGCTGATCAGATGTCCAGGGCGACCTCTGAAGTCTTGGCAGTGCAGAAAAAAAAATGTTTGGGGGGCCGGGCACACAAACGACCTGTGGTGTGTGGGTGGAGGTCCCAGCTCTCTCCATCAGATGGAAAGTGTACAATCTATAATTTCTAGGTCCACTATAAAAAATGGAACCATGTCAATTTATGCGACTAGCGCTAGATGCTTTTATAATTCTATCACATCTCCAGCAGTTCCAATGTTCTTTTCAGGGCTGCCACGTTGGGATGTTGGGGAAGTGTTGGCGTCACCCTTTATGATCTGAGCGTCTTAAGGACATTCCCATTTCCCACTGCCAACCCTGCTCCCTTAGGTTCTGCTGCTGTAGCTCACTCACAGCTGCCCTGTTTCTAAGAATTTATTTCCTTCTGAATCACTCACATGCTACGGCTTCACGGATAGTGACAGGAAAAGCCCAGGGTAGCTGGACTGGCTTAGGCCAAACCGAGTAGTTACAATGAGAAAGTGAGGTTCATCTACATGCACTTTTTTCTTGAATTCCAGACATGAAAAGCTGTCTTACGATCCTGACCTTTCATTCATTTAACAAGTATTTATTGAGCAACTACATGAGTTTAGAGAATTGAGAGAGAAGCACGTAGTTGCATTATTTTGGCGAGAGTGGGCACCACCATGAAAAAGAAAGAAAGAAGTCAAGAAAATATCCCCAAACTTGCTCCAGGATGGACTTATTATGCAACTCGTTGCTGGCGTGAGCTTTCTGTGAACTCACTTTGCTCTTTTTAGATTATCAACTCCACCTTGACATGCTGGCAGACGAGGAGGTGCAGTTGCCATCTGTCATTATTTTTCTAACCCCTCCACAGAACGGGCACCGCGGGGACAGCTCACGCTGCCAGCTTTGTTCTTTCACCCAAATGCTTGGGGCTTCTCTGCCCAGATCCCGGCAGGCGGCGAGGCTGGCACGGGTCTCTGGCTGATGGCTGTCTGCCTTTAGGCTCTTTGGGAAGGAAAAGCAGGACTGGGCTGGAGGGGGCCCTGGGTGAGCAGATTCTGCTGCCAAAGGGCACTTTCGGGATTTGGGCTCTTGGAGTCAAAGCCTCTCTCTGTGGGCGCCCTTAACTCAGTCTAACCAGTTTGTCGTCTGTCCCCTGCAGCGCTGACACGACCATAGTTTGTTCTGTTTTGTGATGGGATTGGGGCTGAAGCTCAATGCTTCTCCTTCTGCAAGCAGCCCGAGGTCAGGCGCTGTGGCCTGCAGAGCCTGGCGCAGTGCTCGGCACATCACAGGTGCTCACGGCATTACTTTTAAATGCATAAGAGAAAGCAAGTGAGGCCAGTGTGGACTATCGAAAGCACACGGAATTTCGTCGGAGACCCTGGTCTGGCTCTCAGCTTTGCGGCTCACTGCAGTATAAACGAGCTCCTCAACCTTGCAGATCCTGTTTTCTCAACTGTCAAATGGGGACAATCATACTTGCCTTACAGGGCTGCTCTGGGGATGAGGTGAAATAGGGAATGGTGTGGCTGCACTCATGGCAGGTTTGGGGGCTGTTTGCCAGTTACTGGAGAGTTCCAGGTGGTTCGTCACAGAGGTTGGGACTTGGGTCCTCAGCATGTAACCTTGATGACTCTGAGTTCTGAGGAGAGCCGTAAACCAGCTTTGGGGATGCCAAGGGGTGTCTGGCACATAAGCATCTCTGGATCACAGTGTGGTATCTCTTGCACGGAACTCACTTCACTGGTTAGGTCTATACCTCCTTCACCCTAAGAATTCTAGGGCTCTTGCAGAGGTGTCCATGAGGGCAAGTGCATTTTAATAACACTGAACTTTGAGGTACGGAAAAGCAAAGGATGGGCAGTGAGCAGGACGGCCTGGGTCTAGAGCTACTCAGGGTGGAAGCCAGCTCTGTCAATTCATTGGGCAAGTCACTTCACCCTCTTGGCTTTCCTTTTCTGCCATTTTCTAAGATGGTGGGTGGGGGGCTACTGGGGAGTTGTTCTAGATCCGATGTCTCCCTTTTTTCTTTTGGCTGTGAGCACAGAGCAGACAGCTTTCACGTGTGCAGCATATTCTTAGGGGCGTACGCAGATTTTGAACAACCTTCCAAACTGCTATGGGGTAACTAAGGTATTCAGCATTTTGAGATCACTATTGATCTTGGCAGCTTAGCAAAACCACTTTCTTTCTTACTGGGGCCCTGGGAATAGGTAGGATCGGCCGTGAATTATGTGCAGTTTCTTTGCAAATGCTCTAAGTGTATGGAGTCTCGACCGCATGACTAAGTGTGTGAGAACAGGAGCGAGGCAGCTGTTCTTCATTTTGTCTTATTTCATTTAAAAAGTCATGATTCTCAGTCTTGGATTCTCGGCTAGTAGAAGTATATTTCTCGTGCTACAACTCGGAACTGATCACGACACACCCATTCGTTGTGAATCAGAGCAAAGAATTAATGGATTGGATGTGTTTTAAAAAGGGTCTTTCAGCATTACCTGTTGATTTCGTTGATTTCACATGCGTCTAGGACTTGCTAAGACAGAGAACTTCAGCCCAACAGCAGGCTACTGCAATGGAGTGGAGTGGACAAGGGGGGATCCCAGAGTCAAAGACTTTTCAAAACCTTCTTTCTCAAGAACTCACCCATTGCAGACATCATTCCCAATCATGGCATATATGACGATGGCTGGGTGGTCCAACAGTTGGTTCCTAGACAAACTGAGAAGCCACAGACGGAATCCGAATGTCAAACACTTGGAAACCTAGTTTTGTAACCAATGTCGCAGGCTGGGCCTGGGAAAGAACCTTTGTAGGTCCACCCTCTGCAAACTTTTTGCTATTTGTCTTTCATTCTAGTGCCCTTATTCCCTTTTCCCACTTTCTTCTCTACAGACTTTAACCTACTTTTTAACCTACTTTCCCATGAGGGAAAGACCGCAAAAATGCGTAGAGTTGAAAAGCGTGGGTTACACAGTCTGCAGGGGCGACGTGCCGCTGCCTTTTTAGCATCCGCCGCATTGGTCATCCATCGACACGGGTGGGTTACCTGGGTTACTTACGTTCGGATTCGTAAGACAGCCTGACAGTCGTGGGCCTGCAGCTAACTGTGAAAACTCAAGGGTTTCTCAAGGATTTCATTCCAGGGCCTCGCTTCTGCCCGAAATGAGCACAGAATTGTTTTCTTATGCATAAAGCAGGAAAAAGAAAGAATCCTTTTTGCCTTTTTCAGATACTTTGGCCAGATCTAAGTTTTATCCACATCGAAGGCATTTTTTACAATTTTTCTTTAAGGACATATATACATGAAACACCTCCAATGCTCCCTGGCCCAGGAAGGACATTCTCTGAGCGTCTGCAGAGTGCCTAACTAGCTACTGATGCTCAGTGCAAGCGATTATGGGGCAACAACAGAGTTTTCATTCATTTTTCAAAATGAGAAACTCAATTTATTTATTTTTATTATTATTATTATTATTTACTGTTTTTTGATTATATTTACTCTCAAGAGGACATTGCAGTATTATGAGCATCAAGTTATTGGGTAAGTAAAAATGGATTTTGGTCATTACTGGGGGCATATTATTAACTATAGTCCCTATGCTATAATTTACATCCTGTGACTATTTTTATAACTCGAAATTTATACTTCTTAATCCCTTTACCTTTGTCATCCATCCCCCCAAGCCCTCTCCCATCTGGCAACCATTAAAATGTTCTCTGTATCTATGAGTTTGTTTCTATTTTTTTTAAATTAATTTATTTTTTATGTTGACATTGGTTAACAAATCCAATGTTTCAGCTGTACACTTTACCACTAAGGCATATGTATATTTACACTGTGTGCCCACCTCCCGTAGTTAGATTTCTTTCTGTCACCACATATTTTACCCCCTTTACCCCGCATAACTCCCCCTTCCTCCCCCATCCCCTACCCTCTGGTAACCACTAGTCTATAGTCCATGTCCATGAGTCTCTGTCTGTTTGTCCTGGTCATTTGTTGCTTTTAGGTTTATATCCGACATATAAGTGATATCATGTGATTTTCAACTTTGAGAAACCCGATTTAAAAATGACTTCTCATATCCTTCTTCCACTTACCTTTCTATAAATTTCTTCAGGTTTTGGGAAGATGCACCTGAATAATTAAAATGAAGAAAATAATTAAAGTTAGTGAGTTCAATTCAATACTATGAGTATGAGAGTCTGGTTGACTGAAATCATGGAGAAAGCATTGTTGTCCAGTCAGAGGAGAGGTTTTATGTCTAGCTGGCATTGTATTAAATAACCCCAAATTCTTTGGATTCACAGGTCTCAAGACTTTCCTTAACACGAATGAGTAAACTTTCTCGTAAATGACAGAAAAATGTGTATATCTATCACTAGAGAGAGAAATCACCCAGAAGAGGAAGAACGAGCTGAGGGATGAGAGGAATAGTAAAAAGGATTCTTCCAGAACCATCCGTCTCCCTGGAGAGCCCCAGTCGATTGCCCGCCGGTATTCCTGACACTCCCGAGGCTCCCCCTGCTGGCCGGCCCGCGCAAGGTTCAGACCGTAGAGCTGATCTAGTTCTCCTTCTCCACCCGTTACCGCCTGTAGTATATTTCCTACATGAAAATGGTATTTACTGAATACTCGTTTTATCAGAAACACTCTGTTAAGCACTTATATTATTCGTTCATTTAGGTCTCAGCACAACCGTGTGAGAGAAGCACAGTCGTATGCCCGTTTTACAGGTGAGGAAACTGAGGCTCACCTAAGTGACTCTCCCGAAGCCACACAACTCATAATTTGGAGAACTACAATTCAAACCCCGCCCCTTCTGCTTGGAATACTGAGCTCTGTCTGACACCGCTTCTCTAGGCGGGGAATCTAGAAAGAGAGAACCCAGGTAGGTTTTCCTGTCCCTTGGAGGCTGGTCCGCAGTAATGAGTGAGTAATCCTCAGGTGGGTGGTGTAACTCAAGGGACAAGGAAGAGCTTCCAGTAACTTCCTGCCTTGGAAGCTTGGGGAGCAGGCACATTTTATGATAGAGCCAGTGCGTGTTCCCGTAACCCACATGGGAAAAAGAGCAGTGCACTGCTGTGAAGGGCACGCCGGCACGTGTTCCCCTGAAGCTGGCACACGTGACCACGCAGTGACCGCCTCTTTGTCCCATGCAACTACATGCAAGCGGTATGGGCAATGTTGATGTTCTCTTGGCTGATTCAGGACGGTTAGTATATTAAATGAATATTGACGCATTTCCTTTTTTATTGTGGTAAAACATACAGCATATAGACTTTACCATTTTTACCCTTCTTGAGGGTACGATTCAGTGGGATTAGGAACATTCACATTGTGGTCCAGTCGCCACCACTGTTCCTCTGGAATTACTCCCCATGAACCCCTCCCCCGCCCTCTGATAACACCATCCTGCATTCTGTCTCTATGAATCAACCATTCTCGGTACCTCGTCTAGGTGGAACCATACAATATTTTTGTGTTTGGCTTATTTCCCTTAGCGTAGTGTTGCCAAAGTTCATTTATTTGGAGCATGTGTCAGAATTTCCTTCCTTTTAAAGGCTGGGTAATATTCCATTGTGTGTATTTACCACATCTTGTTTATCCAGTCACCCGTCGATGGGCATTCGGGTTGTTCCCGCCTTTTGACTATAGTGAGCGATGCTGCTGTGAAGACTGGTGTGCGAGTGTTTATTTAGGTTCCTACTTTCAATTCTTTTAGGTAGATACTTAATGGAAATTGCCGACGATACGGTAATGCTATATTTAATCTTCGAGGACATGCCATGCTGTCTGTTTCCCGTGGCAGCCAGGCAGTGCATTATTCAATATGCACACGAACGTGCGGATTAAGAGAGGGCGGTCCCTCCGGGGCGCATGCATCTGTCCCCTCTTCCCACTCATTTGTTCAGCCACCGGCCACGTGCCCGACATGCAGTAGGGAATTAACAGGTGAGTGGGTTGTGGCCTCTACACCAGAGGCGTAGCATCGATGGGGCAGACACGTAACTGAGTGCTGGTGCAAGGTTTAATGCAAAATCAACCCCACGGCTTGAAAAGAGAGGAACCCAATGTGATTTGAGCCTGTTCTCTCTGCTCGGAGAAGGGGCCGGATGTTGCAGCACTGACTCTTAAACATAGAGACTCAGAGTGTTTCCGGGTGATCCGTTGCTCTCTGTTGTTCCCTAGAGGGAGGAGTAGGGGGGCGGCCATCGCATGGCGGCCCAGTGCCTGCCACACTCACACTCATCTCGTCGGCGGGACCCTGCACTCACTTCTAGCCCCATGATCTCAGCTTCCCATTTTCAGTAAGATCGCGAATCACGAGGTGTTTCATTCTCACTCTTTGGTTTGTGTCTTAATGAGAAATGAAAACTAATGAAAGCTCAAGCCATGAGAGAGGAAAAAAAAAATTAAAGGACCAGGTCGGGCCAATAATTTTCCTCATTATCCAGAGAACAGCTGGGAATTTGAGGTGCGGGTCACCCACAGAGCCTGAGGAAAATGAAAATGAAAACCTGTCACGGCCTGCTTCGTGGTCAGCCTCTTCCCCTGGCCCATGCCACCACATCCCTTTGCTGATGGACAAGGAGGGCATGTTAATCACAACCGGTCGTGGTGGATTTAAAAACAGCAATCACGAACATCCACTCCAGGAGAGAGGAAGTGCCTGCTCTCCTTTACCCCAACTTTTTTTTTCTTGTGGCTATTTATTATACGAACGTAGACTTTTCTTTGCTCCAGAGTTGCTAAACCTTCCGGGATTTCCATTTCCTTTTGAAAATCTCCGTTTGATGTAATTAGTTCTCTTCTTAATTCTCTTTTGCTGCTGTTCTGTTGTCCGTCTGCCAGTGCCATCGACGTTTTCCCTCTCCCGCCCAATCTCTCCTGAACATAGACTTCTTCTCAGCTGCTGATCGGGCTGCGGCTGCTGCTACCATTACAGAAAGCACTCACTGAAACAGTTGAAGCCGGAAGATGCAGGAGGAGAGAGCGCTCCTAGCCTGTGGGATGTGGCCAAACAAGGCAGGCATTCGAAGAACTGGTATCGCCCGTGAGAGGTACACATGCTGGTCTCTGTGATTATAGTTCAGAGAAACAGAAAAGGTTTGACTGTGGAACAGGGGCATAGAATTTATTTGTCAAGGTGGTCCAATGGAGGAATCTACCTGTTCCTAGTTAAAGGAAGAAGAGGGTCCTTATAGGCCATCAGAGTCTAAATTCCGGCTCATGCCGTCCCTTTTAAATAAGGCACAGAGCATTACAAGAAGAGAAGGAAGGTTTTGTGGAATCTTGGCATTGGCTGCCATTCCATACATGAATTTCAGCTGGCATCTCCACCGCTGCGTCAGTGCTGACCACAGCATCGAACCCGTCACATTCTGTGCACCCAAGTCAACTGGTAAGACACTTTCAGTGGTCGTGCCTGGCCCTGAGCAGGTGCTCAGTCCCAAATTCTTCATGGAAAGAGATGATGGGGTATATTTAAGTATAAGTCTTCTTCACGAGTTAAGTCATTCGTTAGTTTGGTAACATTTATTAAGTATACTTGCTATGTGCCAGACATTGTAATAGATGCTGGGGACATATCAGTAAATAGGAAAGATATAGTCCGTGTTCTTGTGAAGCTTAGAGTTATTAAACAAGGAATAAACATGTAAAAATGCTTTTTACACACGACTCAGAAACAAATCCCTAGTTTAATGCCATCTTTGTTATAACTATCTGCGTAGGACAGGGGCGGGTCCAGGTTTTGAGTTGTGAAGCTGATATGATTTGGGGGATCCTCTTTAAGGAAAAGAACATAAAACACGAAAATGAGACCTGACGTAAAGGAAAGCGGGAGTGAAAAGGGACAGGTCTTAGCCAACCGCGGTGAAATGTCCTGGGCATTTTGGATATTACGGCTCTGAGTCTTGTCACCCTGACAAGTAGGCGGTCACCCTGGTTAGATGGTGGTGAGTTCTAACCAGCCTTCCATGAGGTTGTGAGTCCAATGTCAGGTCCATTCTCAAAGCCCTCGTAGTGCTATTTTGATTTGTCTCGTGTCTGTGCCATTGAGTGGCCGTGCTGGGCCCCGGGCAGTGGTCTAAGTTCAGTCCTCAAAGTCTTCGATGTGCTATCAAGGGTCAGATCCACGCACGGGCAGCTCGGGAATGAGCCCAGGCGTCCGTGAGCCACGTGACAGGGATGCTTCCCCGAGCACCGCCCTCTCCGTGAGCTCCTGGTTCTTTCTGGTCCCCTACACTCCCCTCTTGGGTCCGAAAGCCCCAGCTTTCATTCTCTCACCGTCCTATGCATTTGTCACAAATTCACTCACGGTGGGATCCAGCGATGGGAGGCCAGAGTGAGAAAATAAGCAATAGGGGGTTTGCTCGCGCTTCCGGTTGGAGAGGCTGTCTCCCGCCCCAGCCCCCCAGAATTTTAGGCACCTGCAAGCCCCCACTGGTCACCGCCAGGAGGCCCCTTTTCTGCCTCTAGAGTGAACGAGAGGGTTTCTTCCAACATGATGTCTCGGAGCCACCGTCTACTTCTGAGTTTCGGGCCTTGAGTCCAGGCCGGGAGATATCAGAGGACGAGAAGATGCTGACCTCCCCGTCGGCTTGGTGGCCCTCCTAAAACCGGTTTGCTTCTCCAGCCGACCTGCTGCTATTTGCTTTTTTAGAGAATCTCCTCTACCTGTTCTAGGTGCCCTGTCCAGTTTGCCAGCTGCATTCGGCGGGACAGACGGGGAAGTGCGCTTTTACTGCATTGTACTTGGAACCAGAAATCTGAATAAAAAGTGCATGGAGAATGACCTAAAATAAATCTAATAATGTCACTTAACTTTAATTAGATTTTAAAAATGCAGATTTTCCTTGTATTTTCATAATTTAGGAAGCATTTTGAAGAGCATCATTTATATAATCCAGTTAAAAAAATCTGCCATGAGAAATTTAAATGCCTTCTCTTCTCTAAAAACATTTTCTTGCAATAAGCAGAAACATTCAGACTAGTACATTGACCCTGAGCTCAAAATAGTGGGCGCTTAATAATTGTTTGTTGTGACATTTCCCGACGATGATTCTATTACCGAAAATGCTTTCAAATTCTTAAGTGTGGTTCTAAATTTCTGTGACAAACTAGAAAAACGA